TCAACATGGGATAACCAGGACTTACCGAATTTGAGTACTCTTCGCGGTTTATCAAAGAGCAGCTTGCTTGGGTTTGTTGCAAGCGGCGTGATTGGAGTGTGAGATGAAGACAAGAAGAATCTCTCTCTACACTTTGCGGTCCATGGTCATTTTTTTATAAGTTTTTGGATCATGGAGTGTGATGAAGACAAGAAGAATCTCTCTCTACACTTTGCGGTCCATGGTCGTCTTTTTATAAGTTTTTGAGCATGCCAGCCCCATGTTACACTCTTCGTTCAAGTCGAAAAATGCAATACGAGTTTGCCATGACGGTGTAACTGTATGCAGATGAAGTACACCACATATCGAGAGGTTTGCCAAGTGCAGGCGCTGTACTGCCTTTGGCCCTCACAAACTGAAACCGTCGAACTCGAGCGGCGAACCAATGGACAGAGTCGATGTTGTACAGGTTGATGGAGTGCCACTGGTGATACTTTGCTCAGAAGCCAAGGACGCATCGATTCGTGGCAATGCGTGCGCTGTTCTGTTCCTGGCAAATCCTGCAGCTCGACTGATGACGATATCGGCACATTGTGACTGTGCAAGTAAAAGCCCCTTCGTCTTGAGCTGAAAAGGAGCCGGCGCGCCGCCAGAGTCGACGAGTGGATCTTGTTGCTTAGAAATGCGTCGTCGTGTAAGAGGTATTTACTAGTTCTTGTGAGTCGAAAGGCGTGCGGCTGGACTACAATAGTTCCAAGCAATCCACTTCTTTTTTGGCGTTTGAAGGTATATAGCGGCATCAAGCGCCTCCTTGTGCAACTTTTCAAGCGTAGAACCCATCGCCCAACCATTGAACCGCAAACAAATTCCAGAAAAAAGGCATCACGCAAACATGTCGTACTCACTCTACATTGGAAACAAACGTTACTCCAGCTGGTCCATGCGGCCTTGGGTGCTGTTCAAGGCCGTCGGCGTCCCTTTCGAAGAGAAGCTGCAAATCTTCCAGCCAACGCCGCGCCAGCCCGACTTCCTCGCCTTTTCGCCCACGGCCAAGGTGCCGTGCCTGCACGACGCAACGACGGTCGTCTGGGACTCGCTCGCCATTTGCGAGTACGTAGGCGAGAGCCACCCCGGCGTGTGGCCGCGCGACCGCGCCGCCCGCGCCTTTGCCCGCAGCGCCGCCGCCGAGATGCACTCGGGCTTCCCCGCGATCCGCGACCAGTGCTCGATGAATGTCGCTCTGCGCATCGAGTTTGGTCCCGTGGGCGCCGACCTGCAAAAGGAGCTGGACCGCATGGCCGCATTGTTTAGTGAGGGGTTGGACAAGTTCGGCGGGCCGTGGATCGCGGGGCCGACGTTTTCCGTCGCCGATGCCTTTTTCGCGCCCATTGCGTCGCGCATCAAGACCTTTGGCCTGTCGATCCCGGGAAGGGCGGGCGAGTACATTGATCGTCTGTTTGAGCATCCAGCGGTGCAACAGTGGATTAAGGAGGGTATCGCGGAGCATTCGCGAGAGCCGTTCCACGAGGCAGACTGCGTTCGTGGACGCAAGATTTTACAAGATCTCGAACAATCGAACTGAAAAGGGGGAACACGTTAGCTTTGGTAAATAATTCGAGATTCATTAATACCGAGAGATAATGAGTGTAAAAGTTAGTCCACTTGCTTTGAAGTTCGTTCCTTCCACAATCATTCAGGGAGCCACAGTCACGAGGACGGACCAGGCTGGCAGCCCCCCGCCACTAACCAGCCCCTACAGCTTTGTTGTTCAACTGTTTGCAATCCGTCAACAAATCGAACACAGGACATCATCAAATTCATCCTACCGTTATAATGACCGGCGAAGGCACAGCTCGACGTCTCCGAGACATAACGTTTCATCTCATCGCGACACTCGTCATCGCAACACTCGGCCCGCTGCAGTTCGGTTTCCATCTGGTAAGCTTGTCCTACCGCCGTCCGACCCTCCCCCGGATCCACGAGACGGAGGCCAGCAAACTAATTCATTTCCCACCAACAGGCCGAGCTCAACGCACCCCAGGATGTCATTACCTGCAAGAAGAAGACCATTTCCTCCCTCGTGAAACTAGCCGCACACCGCGTCTTCGTCGCCTCTGGCCGCCAGGATGACGCCAGCAGCTGGGTGCCCGCCTGCATCCCCATGAACGAGGCCGCCTTTGCCTTTGTGTCCTCGGCCTTTACCGTTGGCGGTCTCCTCGGCGCCCTCAGCTCCGGCCAATTCGCCTCCAAACGCGGTCGCCTCCCTGCCATGCGTCTGACCGCCCTGCTCTTCGCCCTGGGCTCCCTTGTCGAGACCGTGGCCGGGAGCGTGGCCGTCTTTTCGCTCGGTCGCTTCCTCGCCGGCATCGGTGCGGGTGGTGCGACCGTCATTGTGCCGCTGTACATCAGTGAAATTGCCCCTCGTGACCAGAGAGGCCTGTTTGGTGTCATGACGCAAGTCTCGATCAATGTGGGCATCCTGACGGCGCAAGTCTTGGGGTACTTCTTCAGCCATGGCGGCGCGTGGAGGGTCATTCTTGGTGCTGCCGTCTGCATCGGTGTCGCGCAAGCAATTGGACTTCTGGCTGTTCCCGAGAGCCCTGCCTGGGTTGCTACCCACGGTGATGTTTCTCGTGCCAAGAAAATCTTGCAAAAGATCCGCGGGCACAAAGTCGACATTGAGGAGGAGACGACCGCATGGGGGGCTGTTGGCTCCTCTGGAGAGGCGCAGGGCTTGCTCTCGCAGTCGGAGGAAGGTATCGCTTCCACCGAGGAGGGTACTGTGCCGAAACATCTGGGGTTCCTCCAGGTAGTCAAGGATCCTTCGTACCGGCCAGCAATCGTCGCTGTGGTCGGGTCCATGTTTGTGCAACAATTTTGCGGAATCAACTCGATCATCATGTACTCTGTCTCGCTCTTACAGGACCTTCTACCCATCTCTTCGGTTCTTCTTACCATCCTGGTATCTGTTGTGAATCTGGCAATGACCGTTGCGTGCTCGCCACTACCGGACCGCATTGGACGCAAAACTTGCCTCATGATTTCTGTGATTGGCCAAGGATGCAGCTCCTTTGCCCTAGCCTTGTCGATCGTCTCTGGCTTCCAAATCCTCTCCGCATTTGCCGTTGTCTTCTTTGTGGCTTTTTTCGCCGTTGGTTTGGGTCCTGTACCCTTCATCCTTGCTTCGGAGCTGGTTGGCCAAGAAGCAGTTGGCGCGGCGCAAAGCTGGGCTCTCGCCGGAGCTTACGTCTCGACCTTTATCGTTGCTCAGTTCTTTCCCATGCTTAATACCGCGCTCAACGATGCCTTTGGTGGCCACGGCGGCTGGGTCTACTTTGTTTTCGCTGCCGTCGCTGCCGCTTCTGCCCTCTTCATCACTTGGAGAATTCCAGAGACCAAAGGCAAGAAGGATGTGGACGAGGTCTGGGGCCGCACTCGTCGTCTTGACTAAGCATCGGATTGAATTGATTATACAATAGCACTAGCAGGAATTGATTACGTTTTGTTTATGCAAACATGCGCCTACTCAGTATTGTTTGGTACAGCTGCAGCAGACCAGCCCGTACACCGTCAACGACGTAGACGGATTGGCCGCGCTCCTGCCCGTATACTTCGAGTGCAGCGTCTCGAATAATTCTCTCCAGCCCTGCCATACCACCGCAGCCCATGACGACACAGCGAATGTTGGAGGATTTCAGCAGACGAACGGTGGCCGCTTTGAGCCTGACGTTGACTTGCTCTGGCGACACCGTGTGGAAATCGCCTGCTGTCAATCCGCTGGAAAAGGTCCCGGCAAATCGGTCATTCGTCTGCCCAGCCGCCTGTCCCAAAAATGTGTTGACGCCGTCATTTAGATGTTTTTCCCAGAAGGGCCCTGTCGTGACAATACCCCATGTCTCATTTCCGCCTGTTACAATGACGGAAAGCGATGTGAGTATGCTAGCTTCAAAAATACCGGTTACGGTAGCAGTGGTGATTGAAGAGAGCTTCGACACAAGGGGATGGACGCTGAAGCATGCCACTAGAATAGCATCGTAACTATTGAGGTTCAGGGTACCGGACTGAATGTCTTTGAGTACAGCTTCGGTGCTGGCGTGTATTCCCTCAGTGTTGTTGATGCTGCTTGGAGCTGAGCTGGGGGCTGTATATGTGAAAATGCTGAATGTCTGAAAAATGCAAAAATATAAGAAAAAGGTTAAGAAAGCTTTGAGAAAAGAATGAACTAGTTCTCCGGGAAATCGGCAATACCTCGTGGAGCGTCATGTTGGAGACGGCCGCCTTCATCCCCTCCGTCATGGCTCCTGAGCTATTAGGGTTCAGGATGAGGGCCCTGAGCTTGGACGAGGTCGCCATGTTGAGAATTGGACTCTGAATGGAAATTCAAAAAATACTGCCCTTTTCTAAAAGATTTCCAAGATGGGCAGTAAATAGGGCACGCCCGGGTCAAAACATCTGCAACCCCCAAGAGCAGAGGACCAGTGACAGCGCCGGCCCGCGCCGGGCAGCTCCGGTGCTCCAGGCGACCTGCCACCGCGGGGGATTCACGTGACGCATTCAGCCACCACTGACGCTCACTCGACCCCACCATGCTTGCCCAGCTAGCCAACTCGAAGCTGTCAAGGCCGCTGCATCAAGACCACGTCACCTCGTGCAGCTCTCGTTTTATCTCTCTGTAATATTCTTGAGCTGTCGCAAACATGGCCAATCCTCCACCAATCGGTATGTCCGCGATCCGTCCCTCGCACGCCCGGCCTGACGTCGGAATGGCCTCCAAACCGAGTCTCGCGGTTGCTGACGTATAACCCCCTCCTTTCTAGTCCTCGACGGCGGCACCGGTTTCCTCAAGGTCGGCTACGCGGCGCAAAACTTCCCCGAGCACCAGTTCCCTTCCATCATCGGCCGGCCGATTCTGCGCTCGGAGGAAAAGACGGACAATGACATAGTAATCAAGGACATCATGTGCGGTGACGAGGCCGCGGCGGCCCGCAACATGCTGCAAATAAGCTATCCCATGGAGAATGGCATCGTCAAGAAGTGGGATGATATGCAGCACCTGTGGGACTATACATTCTACGAGAAGCTCCAGATCGACCCTAGCGGCCGGAAGATTCTACTCACAGAACCCCCGATGAACCCGCTCAAGAATCGAGAGCAAATGTGCGAAGTCATGTTTGACAGATATGGATTCGGCGGCGTCTATGTCGCTATCCAGGCCGTTCTGGCGCTTTACGCTCAGGGTGTGTATTGAATGCCTGCGTATGAGCTTCCACTGACAAATACCGCGCAGGTCTGAGCTCGGGCGTCGTTGTCGACTCTGGTGATGGCGTCACCCACATTGTGCCCGTATACGAATCCGTCGTGCTCAACCATCTTACGAAGCGACTCGACGTGGCTGGTCGCGACGTGACGCGCAACCTTATCAAACTACTTCTCCGCCGCGGCTACGCTCTGAACCGAACCGCCGATTTCGAGACTGTGCGTCAGATCAAAGAGAAGCTCTGCTACGTATCATATGATTTGGAGCTAGACAAGGCTCTCAGCGAGGATACGACGGTCCTGGTGGAAAATTACACACTCCCCGATGGGCGCGTCATCCGCGTAGGCAGCGAGCGATTCGAGGCGCCCGAGTGCCTCTTCCAGCCGCACCTGGTCGACAACGAGTCGCCCGGCCTGGGCGAATTTCTGTTCAATACCATTCAAGCTGCCGACGTGGATATCCGCGCGTCGCTGTTCAAAGCTATTGTTCTGTCGGGCGGCAGCAGCATGTACCCGGGGCTGCCGTCGCGCCTAGAGAAGGAGCTGAAGCAGCTGTGGCTCACGCGCGCACTGCAAGGCAACCCCGAGCGTCTGAGCAAGTTCAAGGTGCGCATAGAAGACCCTCCCAGGAGAAGACACATGGTGTTCCTGGGCGGTGCCGTCCTGGCCAATATCATGGCCGACAAGGAGAGCATGTGGGTAACAAAGGCGGAGTGGGATGAGCAAGGCCCTCGCGTGCTGGAGAAGCTAGGCCCGCGATAGGCAGCAATGGAAGGACGGCCACGTCAGCCAGATGAAGTGTAATGGTGCACCAATGGTGGCCCAGCACGTATGATTTTTAACTAGGCAAAAAAATATCTGGCATGAATTTAGTTTTCTTTCAAGGTTTCGTCCCAAGTTTGGTGGGTGTACTATTCATTGTTGTGGTGATGGAGTCCCTCTGTCTTAGTCATCGTATCTTAGAGACGGTCACTGCAGGTACCTGCCTACCTCCTACCTCACTAGGCACCAAAGGCTCTTCGTCTGTTGACAAACGCTTGGTTTACACAGCCGACTTCACGAAACTACACCCTGCCATAAGTACGAGCTCTTCTGCAGGCGCACACGCTGAACCACCCGGCTCTCGGCTTTTGCCCAATTGAACAGCGGAGGTCACCCAGCCGCTGCACGTCGGCCCGCCGCTCGCGCGCGAGCCTTGGTTGCCACTGCGCCAGCATTCGAACCTGAAGGACTCCACAGCAATCTCATCGCAGCACAGCTGTCCGGCGCCGCCGCGCCCCCCGGGGGGGAAGGGCTCCCCTATTCTGCAGCTTTTCGATCTCTTTTTTTTTTCGAGCATTCCGGCGATAATTCCGCAAACAGATTTAGCTTTTTGGTGAAATTGCTGAATTGATCTCATTGGTGGATGGGGGCGTGTTGAACCGAGCTTTTCCACTCCAAACCCCGGGCAAAGACCGTTTTGGTCTATCCCTTTTTATTCTTTTTTTATTTTTCGAATTTACCGGGGATCCTCGAGGACTAGCCGGACCCGGCTTCGTCGGAAAAAGGGTCCGTCCCTCGCTTACCCCCTCGGGATTTCTCCCCCCAAGACAGTCATGAGCCTGACGAATCCTCCTTCGGGGCCCGGTTCGGGCAGCGCCGGCGTTGGTAATAATAACGCGCGAACGCATCAATCGCTCAAGCGTGGCGTGCAGGCTGCTTTTGACGGTACGTATTTCGACCTTTTACATGCCCTCTTTTTTTTCTTGTCCCTCCCCGTCTTGCGCCGGTTTAAGTTTTGCTTTTCTATCTCTACCCCGCGGAAGGTCATCCTAGTCTGAATGCGCTTCTATTTCCGCGCGGGGACCCCCTTGTATATCGGGAAAGGACAAGCTCAGTCTGGGAAAACCTCTCTTCCCTTGAGCATCTCGACAAGTGTCAATGTCACTTGCAGTGCGGGATCGTATCCCGTCCTTGTGAGAAGAGCAGAGCTGCCTCGTATGGTGTCTCATACCCCCTCCTACCTTGGGCCGTCATAACCCCCCTACCGATTGCTGCTGCATCTTATTACACGTCCATCACACCTCGTTGCCCTTCTCAGTCGACTGAGCTGTCGGGTATCGGTGTCGGGAGTTTCTGCCATCTTGTTAGGTCTCGCTCAAGGCAAACCCACGGCCCGTCCAAGTTGACGTCGACGTCGACATCACCAAATACATATCCCAGACCCCTTGGACGACCTGAGAGGCCCTCGAGAAGCTTTCCATGCCGTTGAGATTACGGCCCAGTGCCGGGCACGAATCCCATCAGCAGCAACCCCAGCCCCAGAATCCCCAGCTGCAGCTGCGTAGCGGTAACACCCAGTGGAATCCGTCCGCTGCTGCTCCGCCCATGGCCTTTACCTCATCCTCCTCCCTCTCCTGGGGTTCGTCCTTTCTCGCACACACATCCACCCATCGCAGTCAGAACTACGCTCACAGACGAATTTCAGAAGGTATCGGCCGCTCGGGAGGATACCAGCCCAAGTTTCGCGTCACGGAGCGATATCGCATCGTTGGATTCATTAGCAGTGGTACCTATGGCCGCGTATACAAGGCTGTCAACCGCGCCAGCATCGTGACGAGCACAAATGGCACCACGGTGCCCGCGGGACACGAGGTGGCCATCAAAAAGTTCAAGCCCGACAAGGAAGGGGAGCAGATTAGTTATACAGGCATCTCCCAGAGCGCCATTCGAGAAATGAGCCTCTGTAGCGAGCTGAACCACGCCAACGTCATTCGCCTGATCGAGATTATCCTCGAAGACAAATGCATCTTCATGGTCTTTGACTACGCCGAGCACGACTTGCTCCAAATCATTCACCATCATACACAACAACCACGCCACCCTATCCCACCCGCGACGGTCAAGAGCATCATGTTTCAGCTGCTCAACGGCTGCCACTACCTGCACACAAACTGGGTACTTCACCGCGACTTGAAGCCGGCTAATATCATGGTCAGCTCATCTGGCGGTGTCAAGATTGGGGACCTGGGGTTGGCCCGCCGCTTCGACAAGCCTCTGCACTCCCTCTTCAGCGGAGATAAGGTCGTCGTGACCATCTGGTACCGCGCTCCGGAGCTGATCCTGGGATCCTACCACTACACGCCGGCCATTGACATGTGGGCTATCGGCTGCATCTTTGCCGAGCTGCTCTCACTGCGCCCCATCTTCAAGGGCGAGGAGGCCAAGATGGACAGCAAGAAGACGGTGCCGTTTCAGCGCAACCAGATGATGAAGATTATGGAAATCATGGGCGCCCCGACTAAGGACAAGTGGCCGCTGCTCACCTCGATGCCCGAGTACCAGCAGCTTACGGCGCTGCAGACCAGCATGGCCGCGCACCAGGGCCGCCACGCCCACGGCGTGCCCCTCGCATCCAACCTCGAAAAGTGGTACCACAACACAATCTCCAACGCGCCCAGCAGCACCAACACGTCGTCGGGCGCCTCGACCTCGCTCAGCTCCCTCGGCCAGGAGGGCTACCGCCTGCTGTCGGGCCTCCTCGAGTACGACCCCGTCCGCCGCCTCACGGCCGCCCAGGCCCTCCAGCTTCCCTTTTTCAGCACCGGCGACAAGGTCACGGCCAATGCATTCGAGGGGCTCAAGGTCGACTACCCGCACCGCCGCGTCAGCCAGGACGACAACGACATTCGCACCAGCAGCCAGCCGGGCACCAAGCGCAGCGGTCTTGGCGACGACTCGCTGCTGCGGCCTTTGAAGCGAGTTAAGGACTGATGTATAATAGTATGCGTTTTCTTGCGGCCGCGGGTACTGGGGCGTGGTTGGTTTTTTTGTCGACTGAGGTGGGCGTTGGGTGAGGGTTTGTCCGAGCCATTCATTAGTGGCATGATTATATTTGGGAAGCATTGGTATTTGTCACTTTGGGTCACGGTTAGTCTTTAATAGAAGCGGGTGTTTGGTAAAGTGTACAGTTAGAATACATGGGGTACCATTCGCGGCTCAGCAAGCCGCCAACAAGTTATTACAGCGTTGTTGCGTCTTGAAAATGAGCCATCATCGACTGGCATCTTTCTTCCATCATTGACTGGCGTCTTTCTTCCATCATCGACTGGCATCTTTTCTTGGTAGGAATAAACATGGTGAATTTGATATAAAATAGCTGTACAAAATACATGAGCCCAATATGAAAACCCGGCACGACTCTCGGCCCGCCGCAGATGGCGTCGTCGCCGTCCTCCTTCGACTCGTTGGAATTAGTTTGTTGTAATTACAGTGGTATCATGTCTTGTTTTGTTGTTTTTTGGCGGGCTGGTGCTGAGAAGAAAAAAAAGTCGACGCGCGGGGTTTGGTGTACATGGTATAATGGTTATTTCGAATCTCGCCTCCCAAATCATTTGCCCTTTTCTTGTCCAATCTCTGTGCTGCGCCGGCACTCCTCTTCTCCGCGTGACCAGCAGAGCGTATATATGGGCTGCGTCTTGTGTGGCAGAAGTGCTTTGGTGTGTTTTGTTTTGCTAGTCCTTGAGCTGCGCAATTTGTATCTGCTGGAGTTGCTGCTTCTGTGGCCAAGGCTTGGCATTTTCCATCGTCCAGGGCGGTACGTGCGAGCCAGTCATGGCGCATGAAATATTGGAGAATATCGTTGGCACGCAAAGGAAAGAGGGTGGTGGTGGTTGAAATTCGTCGGCATTTACTTTTTGGCGGCGGTGGGAGGAGCCTTGACGTTGTTGGAGAGCCAGGCAAGACCCTCGAGCAGGCCCTCGCCAGTGGTGGCGCAGCTCGGGACAACGTACCAGACCTTGTCCTTGAGCTTGGAGAGCTGGAGAGCCTCGGTGACTTCCTGAGGTTTCATGGCTGTGGGAGCGGTTAGTGTCGCTCCATCAAGGGTCTGCAGTTTGCACCAGGGCGCGTTGCTAACCTTCTTTCAGGTCCTGCTTGTTGGCAAAGACGAGCAGTAGACTGTCCTTCATTTCACGATCATTGATGATGCGGTGAAGCTCCTGGCGAGCCTCGTCTATACGGGCGCGGTCGGAGGAGTCAATGACGAAGATTAGACCCTGGGTGCCTGCATTGACAATCAAGTTAGTCAGACGCAGCGGCGCGGACATGATTGCGCGCGTGATCTCTGCGCGCGTAAACATGGCAGTCGGAGGCACGTACCGCTAAAATAATGACGCCACAAGGGACGGATCTTGTCCTGACCGCCAACGTCCCAGACGTTGAACTTGACATTCTTGTAGGTGACTGTCTCGACGTTGAAGCCGACAGTGGGAATGGTGGTGACATCCTGGCCGAGCTTGAGCTTGTAGAGAATGGTGGTCTTGCCGGCGGCGTCGAGACCGAGCATGAGCAGGCGCATTTCCTTGGATCCGAAGATCTTGCCCATCACCTTGGAGATTTGGCCACCCATGGTTGCGGAATTGGTGCGCAAAGGTGAAGCGCGGCTTTCGAGGCGGGAGACGTGGCGATTTATAGAATCGAGGTCAAGTCGGCTTTGTCGCGGTACGGTTGTTGTCTGCTTGGTCTTGCGCAAAAGACCGACGTTAGCAACAGGTGGGATGGAGAGCAGTGTCGCTAGATGTAATGGAGATGAAAGGGGACCATGGAGCGGTCGCAAGAAACGATTTTTTTTTTCTTCGATACGACAGGTCGTCAACAAAATCAGAACAAGCGACCCCGGGCAGAAAGCGGGCAGGTAGCGAGGGGCAATACGGTCAATGAAGCGAGACAGGTGGTGGAAACGGGGGCTTGGCTAGCGACGTCAAGAGGCGCGTGTGACTGGCGTCGCGGCCGTATAGATAAGGGGATATGTAGATGGATATCAGGGGGCGCAAGCCAGACGTAGCGCCAGGAACACTGATGGTACGCACCTAGAAGGGAAAAAAAAAAGTGAGGTCGTGAATTGGCAGCCAAATTGATGCAGGAATTAAAAAATAAAAAATTGCCAACAACGTCTGGGGAGGGGGCACAGAACGCTGGGCAAAGGAAATGACGAAATTAGATGGGGGACCACGATGGTCAGGTGGGCGGAATGGAGGGAGGGGAGGGCAGTCGCAGCTTTCGCTGCTTGTAACTAGTTGCAGGTACACACCGGTAATGAGAGTGTGGGACAAAGCGGCGATACCAGCCCGACACTGACGGGAGCAAAGAGTTGCCAGAGTTGGGCAAAAAGGCAAAAAAGTAAAAGAATGACGCTTGGACATGCCACTTTCCATAATATCGAGATTGGCCATTTTCCTTTTCGACGCCAAAAAAAAAGTAAAAAGCCCACCCCGTTGATTATCTGGTTCCCGTCATGCCGCTCCTCAGGGGCTCTTTCAACATCACAGACCCCTCTCCGGCAAAGGCGCCCCACTTGCGCCAGGTACCAAAAAAGCCACTGAAATGACCCAACTCCAGAGAAACCTTCTGAAACCTGCTACTTTCGATCGGGGCCCGCTCAGGCCATCTCTGCGCCCGGATTACCTAAGCCCTATAACCTTACCTAGTACACAACATGTTCATAAAAACCTACCTACCTGCCATGTAACATATGGGACAATATAACGCTAACCCCGACTTCCGCGACCGTCATCTTGCTTCTTGCATTGCACGTGGAGAGATTGTTGGAAACACAAGAGGGGTGATTGCCATGGCCTCCTTCTTCTATCTGATTGAAAAACTAACCCCCAAAAAATCACCATGTAGCTCCCACCACGGTCCGCATCCAACACTTCGCTACAGGAGCCGTACTCGTCGTCGCCCTTTTGAAAAGCCCTGTTTCTTAGTGGTCTTGGTCCCCTTCATTCGAAAAAATCCGCAGGGCAAGCCTGGCCGACCCTCTCGAGCTTCTCCGTGGCCTTTCGCTTCTTCGGATTCGCTTCCTGTTCGGGTGGCGGCACCTCGGTGGGTGCCTGCCTGTTCTTGACAAGTATCTGCCGTGTCGGTCATCGTCTCATCATCATGTACAAGATTCAATTGAGGCCATTTCTCTACCCACCTCTGAATCTCATCCGATAAACAGAAAAGGTCATCGATGGCAGCCTCGATGGCGGGGATTCGTAGGCTCGACCTGTATGGTTCGTCGGCATCATCGCCCAATCTCGCTGTAAACATCTTAGCGCGAGGAACCTTATTTTGGATTGGGCTTGTAATCATCTTACCGCTTGCGATTTGGTTTGCTATATTGTAGAGGAAGGCAAGCATCCTATTGCTGACGTGCTTGTGATGAGATAGGCGCGCGTCGAGACAGTCTCCTCCATCTCGCAACACTCCAGTCAGCCTTCCCCATCGAAAAAGCCGAGATTCTTGTTCCATGATGGCTTCGACACCGGTTTTCCAATCATGGTCAAAGTCTAAGCAATCCTCAAAGGCCTTAAAGCAGGTAGAGGTGGCCTCGTAGAGCGGCCGCGGCGAGTCGGGAACCGGCCCGTCGACCGGCATCAGTTGCCGTTGCGAATAGCTCATCTTGGGAATAACGCTGAGAGTCTCAAATTTGAACAAGGTTTAATTTTTTTCGCTGTCAGTGTTGGGCTTGAGGATTCGGAAATGCCATTGACAATTGGCCTGATGCTGCCTATTATGTACACAAAGCAAGGAGGAGTCGTTCAGTGCCAACAAAGAGAAGAGTGTTGTACAGACTAAGGGGCATATAAGGCCACCCGTTCACACAAAGTTGTGATCCACGCGCCTTTTTTTCGGGGCGTCTAGTTCCCGATTCCTTCTCTCACCCAATAGTTCGCATTGTGGGCCGCTTCTTCTCTTCCCGCCATCGTCTCGCGACAGCCGCGTCACACTCTGCTGTAGCAACTCCTTCATCAGCTTCACATCCATATGTGTTTCAGCAAGAGAACGACTAGTGGGTTTTCAGATGACATACGGGGACACAGGCATTGGTCTTTGTTGTGTTGTGCCAACTATAGCGGGCGAGTCACATAGCTTTTGCTTCCTACTCATACTATGACACTTTGTGTGTTGCCGCCAACTCGGTTCGGCGAGTCACAGAGCTTTTGCTTCCTTTCATCCCCGGTGAGACTTTGTGTATTGCCGCCAACTATAGCCGGCGAGTCACCTAGCTTTTGCTTCCTACTCACCTCAATTTGTGGGTTGCGTCGAGTCCAGGTTGTGCAGGCGTCGGCCACTCTCATCTTCGCCGGGTTGATAGCTACTCAGCGTTGGCGTTTCCGGTTCCGATGCGCTCCACGTGCTGGACAATCACACCAAACCGAGCTCCATGCTGCGCAGAAAATCGTATTACAATAGTCCATTATACTCATATACCGTAAAACATGCCGGGGTACTGTTACCATAACGCCGCAATAGAGTGGTCCCAATTTCGTCGTCGAGCGCGCCAGTCGCACTCATTCGAGCTTCCTCCCTGTGCATCACACCGGTCATGCCCGATACTCAATCACAAAGCGTCGCTCAACCTGTTGCAGAGTCGTCGAGTCATTTTCGCCCTCAAACTTGAGATTTACCTTGCCCGCACCATCCATGCTGTGCACCTCGGCCTTATAAAACGTCGTCGTGTTTGGGTACAGCGCCAGCACAACCTGGCTCTTCTTCCAGTCCTCCAGCGTGCTGGCCTGGCTCTCTGGCGTAATGGCAATCATGTTGCTCGCGCTCGACCTGTACTCCTTTTGCTTGCTGTGGTCGTCTGGCTCGATATCGAGCACTTTGTACCGGCGGTTCTTTCCGTCGCCAATCACCTGCGCCACCTCGCCCATGATCCAGTCGGCCATGCCTTCTGTCGGGTTGGCCTTGGGCTTGAAGGCCACGGCATCGCCCTTGACAAAGACGACCTTGGACTTGTTGGCCGAGCCGGGCGGCTCGACGCTCTCTGCCTTGGGCGGTATGCTATCCCGTTCGCGGTCGCGGTCCTTGTTCCGCTCGCTCTGTTTTCTCGGGCCGGCCATGGGACTCGGAACGGGCGAGTCGCCGGCGGCGTCAAAGTCGTAGAGAGAGGAAGTCGGTGCGCTGTCCCTGGCAGCTCTTTTGCTCGGACCGGCAGCCGCCGCCTCGGACTGCTCTTTAGCGACGACGACGGCGCGCAAAATCTTCAGTTGCTCCGTGACGTTTTTAAGGGCCGTAATGTTGGCCTCGGAGAACTTGACGCCGGACCGGCAGAGATTCTCCATCCTCTTGAGCGACTCGTTGGGGATCTTGTTGGGGTCCATGGCGCCAACCTGCTTGTCCAGACCGACGAGCTCTTTTAGGCTGTCGTTTTCGGCATTGATGCCATTGATAATCTCGCCCAAGTGACCTTTGCAAGAGTCCCATATTTGTGCCTCTTCGCCATGCGAGCCGCCGTTGTTGCGACTCGATCCGCGTCCGCTGCGGTTTCGTTGTGACATGTCGTTTCGTACGCCCGGGAGTGGCTGATGGTAATAAGGTCCTAAGTTTTCTCTCAGGTGGTTGATTTCGTTATTGGGGCGCTGATTTCGCCTGTTAGTCATTACTATGAGTACTCTGCAAACAGAGATTTTTTGGTAAGATAAAAAGGCAAGAAAAAGGGATTGGTTCCAAAAGTTGGCAATGAATAGTTGTAGTGGCAAAAGGCCGTCTCACGAAACGCGCAAACAAACCCGCGAGGGAGCGCACACCAATTTTATTGTGATCGGTCTTGACTTACATTGAAGGCGGCGTCTGCCGACCAGGTTCGTATTTCGCGGCTCGGGCAACGCGGTGAACTGTCCTGCTTTCTGCGACCGGGTTCCTGCGTATGCGGCACGCGTTTGCGCTGCAATGAAGCGCCAGGTGCGACTCGAAGAAGCAGCCAAGCGGTTGCTCGATGCTACCAGGTGTGAGGGTCTAGCGCATGCGACGTCTCTCGATGGCCAGACGGACGCGCGGGACGAGGTTGTCGCGGAGAGGTGCAAGAGGTGCAGGAGCGACGAGGGTGGAAGCGCGGATGCTGGTGGCGGGGGCAAGACCAGCTACTTTCCCGTTATCCGTTCGATCGGCGTTGGCGGCAATTGCAGGGAGACTCGTTAAGGTTTGGCTGGCTCGATGGGTGCTGTTTTGGCTGGTTGCTTTGGCTGATGGGTGTGTGGGTTGGAATTGGCGCTTTGCGACGCTGGCACGCGCCGACTACTGACGTAACTAACTACCTAAATAATGGCTTCTCTCTTGTGCGGTACCGAGAGGCGCGGTGGAGACAAACGCGACTCTGTCTTTATTCAATTCCATATCAAATATTACTCGCTCTCCAGTAGAAAATCAGTTCGCTGGCGAAAAGAAGCTTCATTATTCGCTAGTTTTGAGGCGTTTCTTTGGCACGCACGACTCGGGCTGTTGTCTCGAACTTCTCTCCAAAACCTCCCTTTCCCATTCGAACATTGTCTGTCTGTAGCAATGGACTTCCCAATGGTCTTTTCCCCTTGCAATCCCGTGTCCAATATGCAGTGGCTGTACTTGGGCTTCTCAAGGTTCTCGTCACGTCACACGGCATCCATTGATTGCGCTTGCTGTTGCTACCCTGAACCGCGGTGTCCTTCGCGACATCCCGCGATACCAATGAGTAGTGACTGATGACTCCCCAGACAGCAGTGACCAAAAAGCTGCCAGCATTTGCTGCCGAATATATCCGAGAAATCCGAGTTTTGGAACTTGTGGTGTTGGGGGCGGCTTTGACAGGTAAGCAAGTTGGCAAGGTCGCACCGCAGCAGCCAAGACACTGCACTCCTCAGCCGGGTAAAGCCAACGACAGAGCTGAAAAGTATATCGTTACAGAGCTGAAATAGTATTGATAATGCTTTTGTATAGTTGCAATAGGGCCCCTACGTCGAAATTCCCGAAATAGCAATGACAAGTTCAGCCTCAACCAGCGAGCCAGCGACCAACGCATTCAGGATGGAGGACAGAGCCGTTCTCACCGCGACTTCTATTGACCCCCTCCAGTTATATACACTGGAGCTTCTCTGGCTGCTAGAAGTATTGGAGAGAAAAACTGGGACTGCTAATAATACACTGTGACCAGAGTAGTTGGTGCCAATCTCCAGCGAGGACCCTTCGCCAACGACGTCTGTGGTAGGTTGCCAGACGGGGTTTGTAGCTACGGCACACAAATATACCAGTTAGTCACTTGCACAAATATCTCACATATAAGCAGCGAGTTGGCGTCCTTAGCTGCATAGTCGTCGAGTTTACTGTCGGCCGCACCAACCTTGGGGCAGCCTACCCTCTGCGTCACCACGAGCCCGACACAGGCCATCCATGTGTGAAGGTCTGTGTTTTTGCATCTACATGTTACCTGTTACTTAACAGGCGCTTGAATTACTTACTTTATTCCATCTGCAGGTCTGAGAACCCGCGTGCAATGGTGTCGAACATCAGCCAAAGATGCGTATCGCGCCCGATGGCAGCCCATTTCCAGGGGTTATACCCGACCGCTCTCCCGTATTATTGCTCCCACGCAATATATATGCAGTCAGAAGAGCCACAGTGCCAGCACTCTATTCCATGCACCCGTGACTTTCCGCTTCACACCCAGAGCTACGCAGTCACTTCAGAGCATTGAAGATAAGACGAACGAAACCGCCAATCAGTCGTCGTAGCTTTGGTCACCCATATCTTGGGCGTTTCTTTACCGTAGCAGCACACCACTTTCAAGCTTCTCTAAGTGTTGAGACAGGCATGAAAACGCCACGGCTGAGAAGTCGAAGCAGGCGCAAAACCCCGCATCGGTTGGCCAGCCGAGGGTACAAAGAGAAATCGGGCAGGCTGGGCGCTGCAAAATATCACGCAATCCAGGCGAGTTCCGTCGCACATTCACATGACAAGCAGCACTTTTTACTTTGTGATCTTCAGGCAAACCTGTCAAAACCCGGCATCGGTCATTGCGCGAGGCCTCGACCGCGCAGCCATCCACCAGACTCGCTGGCTCTCGCATACGGGTAGACTGCACACCCATTCGCTCTGTTTTTTTGCTCACGCCTGGATCACATCCGAGACACGACGATTGATTGATGGTCTTGCCAATCACAAACTCCTGTGGCGAGTTTGGTGGCTTTGTCACGTAACGCCAGTTGCTCGTCCAAGAGTTGTCATGTTTCGATGCTCGATTCGCAAAACACCTGGATTGAGAAAACGTATGATGATGATGAAACTCATCCGAGGCTTTTACGGCAGTTGTCTTTTTTCTCCTAAAAAATAAGCTTACTTCCGGCTCCGATAATGCGAACGACATGAAATATGGGACAGCAACCTCGGACGGTAGGTACTTGCACACGTTTTGTGGCCTGGGGTACAAACATAATGAATAAATGCATTTTCTCTATTACCGATTACAAACGAGCAGACAAATTGTCGTCTCGAGTCCGAATCCGGAATGTTTGCTCCAATGCTTGTCCGCCTACTCCTGCTTGTCCGCCTACTCCCGACGACAACAAAACTTTCTTTCTTGTCCCCGCCCAGCTCTCGTAGCCCTACAAGGCGCTGCAAGCAGCTCAATTTCCGCCTCCATAAACGCCTTTTCCGATGCTCTTGTTCGGTGATTAACACACTCGGTGAATTGCGAACCATGTTCCCAGAAGGCGACAGTACAGCCGAAGATGGCTGGTCGCCCGCACCGCGACCCCCCCCGCCCTCCGTTGCCCATGCCAAACAACTCCGGCCTGCCACTTCCAAAAGCCCGCATAACTACCATGTAATCAATCTTCTGCATCCGCTTACACGAGTTGCCAGAGTACACCGGTACGCCGTCTTGGCGACGCCTTCCAAGGTGGGTGTCAGGCTTGGGCCGACCCTTCGGCCGAGCCAGTACACCCAGTACCGTGTTTTCTGTGGCCAGCAAAAACAGCCACCGGATCCTTGGCTTTTTTTTCCAATATTGACGGCTTGGCGTACATTATGACTCGGTTGCCGAAAAAATCAGATGTTTCCCCTCCGCGCGACGCCCAACTGCATGTTGGCTACCGCAGCCTTGGCGGTCCTCTTGTTGTGGAGTTTTGGGGCTTGTTAACCTTGTATCGGATCTTATCAGATGATCTCTCTCCAATCAGCTCGCTTCAGCCGTGCGGATACCACTTAATTCGTTATGAAAGACCCACAGTGCAGACAGGCTCCGGAGTACGGTTCGGAAGGCACCGACCCATCGGCGACTTCGGCGTTTTGTGCCAGCACTTATATAAAGACAACCTCTGTCAACCACATTCTGTTTTTTTTTCCGTGTGTGTTTGGATCAGATTGTAAGCCTCCTCAAAGCTTGTACCACCATTCAAACTTCGTCTCAAAGAAAATGCACTTCAAGCTTGGACTCCTCGCCGCAGCGGCCACGCTGTGTAGTGCCGCGTTCCGCGATGGCTGTGCTGACGCACCCTGGAACTCGAACACGGACTACTTCCTCAACAAGTTTGACAACGACGCCAACTTGCCCTTTTACCCTAAGTACAACAAGACCTACGTCACCATCAAGAACCGCCAGCGGAGATTTGTCGTGCTGCACTGCTCCAAGGAAGCGCCTCCGAGGTCCGTTGTAGGCGAGGAAGCCCTGATCATCCAGGTTCCCGTCAAAAACGTCGCGGCTCTCGATGGTTTCTCCCAAAACATGATTGAGGTACGCTCTTCACCCTTGACCACCAAAACCATGCTGACCCCAGAATGAAGATGCTGGGCCTGTCCACGTCCATCCGACGCACTGGTGTCTACGCCGACGTGACGAGCTCGTGCGTCCGCGGCAACATGATGGACAAGATCACGTATGACGACGACAACTGGGACAAGGCCGAGGCCGTCGACGTCACATTCTACGGCGACACCAAGGACTCGGACAACAAAAAGGTTCTCGTCTACAACATTGGCAACTACGCTCCCTTGACCCAGCTCGGCTACATCAAGTTCTTCTCCATGTTCTTCGGCCTCGAGGAGCTGGGCACCAAGCTGTACGACGAAATCGCCACCAGCTACCGCTGCGCCGCCGCCAACGTCCAGGAGGCCCTGCTGTCGGGCGCCTACCCCAAGGGCGCCTACGTGTCCCCGATCCGCAAGGAGGGCGACAAGCTGACCGTCTTCCAGAGCCCGTGGTGGAGCACCATCCTGTCCGACGCCGGCTCGCGCCTCGTCAACGTCTCGGCCGACGGTGAGACCACGGGCCAGGGCAACCCCACGACGGCGCAGCAAGTCTCCATCAGCGCCATCACCGCCGACGGCGCCTTCGCCAAGAACAGCTGGGCCATCATCGACACCACCCAGTACGACCAGCTGCCCGGCAAGCAGGCGCCCAAGGAGAACCCCAAGGCCGTGCGCGTCACGGCCGACACGTACGCGACCCGCTCGGGCGTCTCCAAGAACATCTACGCCGTCGCGAACAAGAACGTCTACCTCACGGACAAGGCTTCCAACCGCAACATGCGCCACAGTGAGCCCATCCCCTGTCAGCGCAGCTCCTCTTCGCGCACTATGCTAACAATCTTCGCTCTACAGACTTCTTTGACCGCGGCAGTGCTCGCCCCGATCTCGTCATCCGGGACATGATTGCCATGCTCTCGCCGACCATGAACCCCAAGTACACGACCCAGTTCATCCGCCCCGTCACCAAGCCCGACGACGAGATTGCTCTCCGCCGCTACTCCAACACGTGCGCCGTCAAGGGCAAGGAGATTGAGACGCTCAACCTCACGTCCTGCGCCGTGCCCGGCTGGGTGCAGGGCTTCAACTCCTCTGGCATCACCCCCAACGCCTACGGCCGCGCCGACGACCAGCAGTCCCTCGCCACCATGTCCACCAGCAAGGGCCTGAGCGGCGGCGAAAAGGCCGGCATCGCAGTCGGCTCTGTTGTCGGCTTCCTTCTAATCGCCGCGGGTGTCCTCTTTGGCGGCTGGAAGTGGCGCCGTGCCGCGGCCGCCAAGAAGAAGCAGCAGCAGGAGATGAACCAGGTTGAGAAGGGCTCTGTCACGAGCGAGTAAGACGTCGAGGTTTTTGACAGTGTGAAAAATTGGATTGTGGCATGCTTGCTTGAAATGTTTTATGAGATAGTGACGCGCGACGTTTTCCGAGACTATCGGATCCTTTGATACGTTTTTCTATTTACTACACAAGGTACTTAGCGATACAATTAAAAATGTTCTGAAGTCAAGATTGTTTTTAAGTATTTGGAGGTTCACAATAAAACGTACATTTACTACATACAAAGTACTTGGCGATACAATAAAACATGTTCTAAAGTCAAGATTGTTCATAAAAGCACTTGGAGTTGTTCACCATAAACGTCGCTCGATCATTCGTAAACGTCTTCCGAGGCGGCATGTACCTGCCTGCCATGTTCAACGTATACATCAACATCGTCTGAGGAGTAAAAATTGTATTTGTACCCAAGTATACTAAGATTCTTTCTACCGTTAGCTGCTCGATTCCATGGTGCAAATAACACGCTATTTTTCCTTTTGTCAAAACAGCACCTTGATGCTGTAGCAGCCAGGCCGGGGCGACGGTGAAACGCTGGAGCACAATCCGTTCAGAGTCACCAAAGCAGAGAATGTTTTCCAACACAACATGTGTCGCACATTATTCGACGCAGTTTGCCTCCAAAATGGTTTGAGACGCGGGCTTTGTCCTACGGTCCAACCATTACGCGATGAACGAGTTGGCCAAGTCCTACCGTGGCTCCTTTCCTTGTGATGCTCTGTCGTGTTATTGAGAAGTAGTTGAAAACACTGATGTAACCTGTATTTTCTGCTTTTGACTATGAGGCTTTGGAGCAAACACTGCAGCTCACGTGTGTGCGTGCGACTTGGCAAGCACACGGCTGGCTTGCACGCCGGCAACGCGCATGCCCTTGGTCTGCAGGACTTTCCGTAACAGACTTCTCTAGGAAAAATGCAGTAGGGACATTTGCACTGGCTCGTGATTAGCCGTGAAAAGCAAGAAAGTATCAGCACTAGGTCTGGGCTTTGTACAGGTTGTTGCGGGTGGCGGCTGTCTGCCCAATGGCGTGGCGAAAGTTGCTTGCTGCGCGCCGTGCCGACCTCGGTAGCGGTCTGTGCCGATGTTGCTCAGAAAACGGCCTGCATGCTGCTCAAACATTACCGAATGCAGCTTATTGCAGGATGTAGTCATGCAGCTGAATACGGGTTATCATATTGTTTGATGACACCAATAGACTTGCAGGCGTCGTGTTACGTTGGTGTGAGCCAATATGGTAAGCGAGTAGTAAGATAACGAGGACGCATTGAACGCGTTGGACCAGACGACTATTGCTACAACTTGGCGCTCCCATTAGAATTGATTGTCGCTCTATCCATAAACCGAGTCGTTGACTGAATTATCCAAGACAGAATATTGAGCCTGGCACTTACACAGGACGCAACGAGGTCAGCCCAGCAGCATGCTAGTAGCTACCTACAGCGTACAGTACCACCTACGAAACGAGAAAAACAAACCTATACGAGATTTAGTGTTTGCTCTCTCTTCTTTTTTGCCTGTGCAACAACGTACCGTGGACTGTACCACCATGATTTGCAAGACGTACCTGAGACGTTGGGCAGCGCACCACTGATCGCCCCCTGCATCCACTAAATCATAACCACCAACTGCGCTATAACTATAAAGCGGCCCAATAACCCGGTTCACCTTTCGAACTTCTTTTCAACCTCACTTCTTCATCACCGCGCATGCTCCATCTCCTTTTCCCTCCAACATGAAGCTGCGCGCGCTATGCACGGGCACTGCTTGAACATTCTCTTGCACGCTTCCCCCCCCTCGCATATGCTTCTCGCACGTTGATCTTGAACGATTTGCTGCGGCTTGTCTGAGGTGTCGCCGCGCAAGCGCCTTACCCACCTCGCATCATCAACTTCCCTCCCCTGCGAAGCGAAGCGCAAACTGACCTCTTTTCCAAAGATCAACGCCATGAGTCTCTCACTCAAGCACATCCCCTGCCCGGCCGGCCAAAACTGCTCGGCCTACATGTGCCTCTTTGGCGGCCACGCTGCTGACAGCGATGGCCCTGCCCTGTCCAGGCCGCCAAGCACCACGCCCAGCACCGACGCCACAGTCTCGTCCGGCCATGAATCAGACAGCAGCAGCTCTAGAAAAGCCGCCCGCCTTGATTCTCCCCGACCGACTGCGTCCAGCAGCAGGGCCGAGCCGTCTTCCGGCCGGCCCCCGCTGCTCCGTGAGCCGGATTCTAGAGGCTCGCCAGTGCCTCCCCGCTCACTGCAGCTACCCATCACGCCGCCACCCAAGCGGCGTGCCGTTGCCGTGAATGCCGCGTCAGCATCGACCTCAAAGGAGCCGTTGAAGCAAGAGTCACTCAATCCCCGATTGCTCAAGCATTCACCCGCTAGTCATGAGATCAGGCTGAAGCTCGTCAAGCTAGCCTACGCTGAAATCAAACGCCTCAACGAGGCATTGAAACGAGACGGCAAACATGATCGCCTGGTCCTATCCGACCAAGCGATCATCACACGCATACTCAATGACGAAGAATCCACGGCCGTTGGCAAGCCAGCTGTGTACACCAACATCATGAAAAACTACGTCATGAAATACAAGCGCCTTCAACTAGCCGACTGGATCAGGGACCGCCAAAAAGAGATGCCCGAGAGCAAGAAGCGCCAGCACGACGTCATGCAAGGCGACGCCCTCCTTGTCGAGACCGGCCTGACACCCGCTCAAGAGGTCGGTCTCCTCCAGCGGCTCCTAACCCCAATTGACGGCCTCGCCAACCACGGCTACGTCGCGTCGCCGCCAACCGACGCCGCCATTGCCGCCGCACGCGACGGCCTCGCCGCCGCCAAAGGCTGGGAGCAGTGCGACCGCTGCAGCCAGCGCTTCCAAGTATTCGCCGGCCGCCGCCCCGAGGACGGCGCGCTCACGTCGGGCGGCGCCTGCAACTTCCACTGGGGTAAGGCGTATTTCCCCGAAAAGACGGCCGGGAGCGCCGGCGGCAAGCAGCCCAAGCGCTTCCTCTGCTGTGGGGAACAGATGGGCGACTCGGCCGGGTGCTTCACGCACCCCAACCACGTTTTCAAAGTCGGCAGCGCGAGCCGCCTCGCCGCTGTACTCGCCTTTGCCGCCACGCCAGAGAACCCGGCCGCGCCGCCCGATCGCGCCGTCTGCTTCGACTGCGAAATGGGCTATACAGTGCACGGCATGGAACTAATCCGACTCACGGCCACCTCGTGGCCCGACGGAGCCGAGATCCTCGACGTGCTCGTCCGGCCCCTCGGCGAGATCCTCGACCTCAACTCGCGATTCTCTGGCGTGTGGCCCGACGACCTGGCCCGCGCCGCGCTGTGGTGCCCCGGCGACCCTCTCGTCCCGCCCACCACCGACGCCGACTCATCGTGCTCGCACGGCAGCGAAGAAGGCCAGGTCGCTAAGAAGCGGCTGCAGGTTGTCTCCTCGCCCGCCGTCGCCCGGACGCTGCTCTTTTCCCTCATCGCCCCGTCGACACCGCTGCTCGGCCACGGGCTGGAAAACGACCTCAACGCCGTCCGCGTCGTGCATCCGACTCTCATCGACACCGTCCTCGTCTTCCCCCACAAGGCCGGCCTGCCCTTCCGCCTCGGCCTCAAGGGTCTCATGAGCACCCACCTGCACCGCCGCATCCAGGTCCAGCACGGGCCCAAGATGCTCGGCCACGACTCGGCCGAGGATGCCCGCGCCGCCGGTGAGCTTGTGCGCTTCCGCCTCGCCCGCGAGTGGGCGGACATGAAGCGCGCCGGCTGGACCGTTGTTGATGGTGCGCTCGTGGCCCCGCCTGGCGGTGATGACGATGACGATGATGATGATGATGATGATGCTGCTGGCCCCGCCAACGACAGCGACGGAGGTGGCCGCTTGACGGAGGACTTTATCGAAGCGGCCGCCGAGTAGCCAGAGTGTTAGAGCGCGACTAACCTTGACCCTAGTAGTTACACCATCGGCGCCGCCACTCAACCAAAAGAGTGCCGCTGAGCGAGATTTGAATCGGGTCGGGAAACACGGGTTATGCCGCGGGGCATTGGGATTTTTTTCTTGGTTGTTGGGGGACTTGGCTCTTTAAAGGTACGTCTCCTCTTATATATATACAACGTTTGATCAATGGGACCCGGGATGCCAGGGAAGAGCGTCCGTACTTTTTTACAAAATCTTGCCACGTATTTGCTTCAGTGATTGCAGTATTCCTAATTTTTTTTTACTTCTCAACGTATGCTCAGTAATGATTGTATTGTTACAAGGGGAGGTACATGATTGTAGATTTTGCGCCCAACACATAAAAGAAGACGACTTTTTCTGAGCCATTTCAAAGCCATTGCAAAGCGGAGATTTACATCTTCTCCCTGTAGTCCATCCTCCCAGCCTATGATAAACCACCCGTATCCATCTAAGCTCTGCCAACAGACAGCAGGTACTGGCCACCTCCGCCATTCTTGCCACTGCCGCTGGGCAGGTACGCCACGTTCGGGTTCGACGCCAGCGTGGCCGCAATATCCCGCGCGGCCTCGATGCGACGAATCTGCACCAAGCCGTCGCCCGCCTTGGCAATGGCCTTGGAGATGGTCTCGGCCGACTCGGCCTCGCCCTCGGCGCGGATGACGTTGGCCTGGCGCTCCTGCTCGGCGCGCTCGACGATGAAGCGCGCGCGCTCGGCATCTTGCTGCGCAATCTGCTTCTGCTCGACCGCCTTGGTGAACTCGCGACCAAACGTCATGTGCGTGATGGAGACGTCCTCGAGGGCAATGTTGAACTCGGCGGCGCGGCGGGTCAGGTCGTCGCGGATACGCTGGGAAACGGCCTCGCGCTGGGTGATGAGCTCGGCGGCGTCAAACTGCGCGACAATGGACTTGAGCACCTCGTTGCCGATGGAGGGCAGGACACGCTCGTCGTAGTCGGCGCCGAGGTTCTGCAGTCGTTGTTAGCGTCTTGCTGCAAACAAGTATTTGGAATGTGAAAGGGGAGCACGTACCTGGTAAATCTTGGGAAGTTGCTTCACTATCGGGCGGTGCAGGACGCGGAGCGTCAGGCTGACCATTTGCATGTCCTTGGAGCCCGTCGTCGTGGCAATGTTTCTGGGCTTGGTGCGCACGTCAAAGACAATGGCGCGCTGCAACCAGGGAATCAAAAAGTGCGTGCCCTCGCTGATGACGTCCTCCTTGACACCAGACACCCTGTCAAAGATGACAGCGCGCGTGCCGCCCTTGACGTCAAATAGCGACTGCGAGGCCGCCATGGCGACGAGCGACGCTGGCACCGCCAGCTTGTACATGGAGTTGAGGGCTCTTGCTGCCATCTTGATCAAGTTCGTCCAGTAATTGTCCTTGCGTACAATTCGTTCGTCGTGGTTGGTCGCTGATCCTCGTTCGCGGCGATGACAGGCGGGATGGAGATGAGAATTGACAGACGGACACCGGATGAGATGGGGGGCGAGCTTTCAATCGAAGTTGCCTGAGCTGTGAGGTTCGTTTTCCAGTGAAGCACCGGCGCGCTAGTCTCGTTGTGGCCTGGTGGAGTTCCCCGGCTGCTCTGCGGGTGTGCAGACTTTCGCCTCTCCGAAAGATTGCCTTGGACCTCCCTCCCACCCATCGACCTCGACACCTCGAACATCTCCGCCCAATTCCGTCGCGAAACGATTCCGCCAAAATGAGACCGACTCAGAGAATGCTCAGCGGCCCCAACTGGAAGGTCGGCAAGTAAGTGGCGGCCCCTTTGCCCCGGTCGGGGAAAACAGCAAGCGCTGCGGCTTTTCCACGGCTATGACCCAGCTCTCGCAACCGACGATTGGCAGCTGCAATTAGACGATAGTGTATGCTAATCGGGATTTTTACAGCTGGCTTGGCCACGACTTTGGTGCTTTCGGTACGTGAGACGATTTGGAACAATTGCGTGTTGGACGTGGAAATGGACCGCGGGCGGCGCGGCGCATGGGACGAACCGGGCCAATCTTACGCCAATGCCTCGAGGTTTACCGCGATTGGAAGTGTCCAAAAGAAGGCGATAGGAAATACGAGGGAGATATGGATACTCGAACAGGACACTAACCGGACACAGGTGGCGCTGGCAAGGTCAAGGGCATCATCACCTACGGCATCGCCGCCAACCGTCAGAACCCCTTCGCGGGTGCCGCGCACGACGCCATCTTCAACACGTTTCGCCGCACCAAGTCTCAGATCTTCTTCTGGCTGCCGTCCCTGATGGCCGGCTACTACCTGATGCACTGGGCCACCGAGCGGTAAGCTGTCACCACGGACCACCGCCGTGCCTTGCCAGAGGAGAGTCGGAGCTAACTGGGACAAACAGCAACGAATACCTCAACTCCAAGGCTGGCCGTGCCGAATTTGCCGACCATGAGGAGTAAGAAGCGATATCAAAAACAACAACGATGGAGGAACGATAAATCAGGCGTTGTATTTGTGTACGCCTGCGGGCGCCTTTGTACATCAGGAGAGCGGGAAGACGCAGAAATAGACGTGGCTGCTGCCACTATACGGAATAAAACATATCACTTTACTTTGTCAATGATGTCTGATGGCGCATTGTGAATGGCGTCGCATTCTAGGTAATGATCAGCCGACGTATACGTGCTGTAACGAATGCACGCCAATTGACCAGCCAATTGATGTCAAGAGCTTTTGACCCTTAATTCAACAGTGTTTCGGATTTTATTTATTTTGTCAAGATTTGTTTTTCTGTTTTATTCATCGGTCAAATACTGTCATCGAAAATGCACGCGATGTCATTCGCCCACCAGTGGTATAGAGTCACGTGATGCATTCGGAAGCGGCAGTACCAAGCGCCGAAAACCCATGGCGGCCAGAAAAAAAGTTCTGGGACTGGCAAAAAAAATTAGTTTAGAGCGGACCAGCCAAGTGCCAACCTCTCGCCAAACCATTCGGATCCCAATTGGCCTTTCGATCAATTCCTTCCGAGTCTGTCCTTTTTGGAAATCGAATTGACAAGACACGACCTTTTCGATTATTTTTATCCAACATCACTATTTCCCACACTCACTTCTACACACGTTTTTTGCGACGTTGCCCAAATACCAAACAAAATGGCCGCCGAACGCCCCGACAAGAAGGAGAAGAAGGACAAGAAGGAGAAGCGCGCCAGCGAGGAAGGCGGTGTGAAGAAGGAGAAGAAGGACAAGAAAGAAAAGAAGGACAAGAAGGAGAAGCTCGCCGCCGCGCTCGAGGACAAGATCCAGCAGGACGCTGCCAAGCAGTCCAAGAAGGAGAAGAAGTCGGCCGCCGCTGCGACGGCTGAAAACGACTCGGACTCGGACATGGAGGACGGCGAAAAGGCGTCTGCGCAGGCCCTCGACCGCCCAGTGGTGTCGTTTGCCGTTCCTGTTGCCGACGAAAAGGGCATGAAGAAGGTCTACAAGACGATCCGCAAGTGTACGTTTTCTTCACTTACCCCTTCTCCCCTTCCCCCCCCCCAAAAACTTCTACTGACCTCAAACCCCACAGCGGCCAAGAACAACACGCTGAAGCGCGGCGTCAAGGAAGTCGTCAAGACGCTCCGCAAGTCGCCGGCCGCGGGTCCGACCAGCACGGCGTTCCCGGGCATCGTCGTCATCGCGGGCGACATCTCGCCCGCCGACGTCATCTCGCACATTCCCGTGCTGTGCGAGGACCACAACGTGCCCTTCATCTTTGTCACGTCGCGCGCTGAGCTCGGCGCCGCCGCCAAGACGAAGCGCCCGACGTCGGTCGTCATGATCATGGAGAAGCAGCAGGACGGCAAGAAGAAAAAGGCCGCCAAGAAGGAGGCCGGCGATGCGGACGACGCGGACGAGGGAGACGACTTTGCCGAGGCGTACGCGTCGCTGGCCAAGTATGTGCAAAAGGAGTACCAGAAGCAAAGTTTCTGGGCCAAGGGCGACTCCAAGGCGTGAGATGCTCGTGTTATCTGTTCAGAGGGTTTGAAAGAACAAAAGGGGGGGTCCAAGGACGAGAGAAAAAGAGGGCATTGGATGTGGGACTTGATTTGGATCAAATGGCTAGTTGCTCATGACACTGGCCAGCTGGGCATGGCGGCGTTTACGGTGTATATTCCACGTGTTTTATGGCATACAGTTAATGTTATGGATTGCTCATGTCTATCAACGGATGCAAGTGAGGCACATTCAAATTCTTTCGGCGTCAATTATTATTGAACTAGAGTTACAACAAGGGAACAGATTCGTAGTGAGGTGGCCACGACCGTCTCCTCCGAACGTATGCGCGGCAAATGGAAGTAGTAAGAGCTAACAACTAGAGTCCCCCGTCCTCCGCATCACACGCACAAATGCCGTCTCGGCTGTTCCAACACTTAGTTGAAAGGGTTAGAGCGCGTTCCCCACCAGGTGAGGACTAGGGACAGGCCGACTGTCTCGAAGAGCTTGGCGACGACGCTGGCACCGACGGTGTCGAGGGGACGCTTCTCAGTGAAGACCTGGGCGAGGAACTATATCGGCTGTCAGCATCTGTTTCAAGAGCATATGTTTGAAGAGCATCTGATTCAAGAGCATCTGTTTCAAGAGTGCGCAGAGAACCGGGGTTTGGTTCGCGTCCTCGGGGAAAAAAAACTTACACCGGGAGCAGCAGTGGCAGCAAAGATGAGACCGCCGAGGTAGGCGGCGCCCTTGTAGGAGAGAGTACCAGTAGCGTTGATGAGAGCGGCGACACCGTACGACTGAAGACCGGCACCGACAAACGAGGTGCCCCAGGCGGCGGCGGCACCGGCAGCCTCCTTGGACTTGATGAACTCCTCCTTGGTGTTGGCCGACTTGGCGCGCTGGTAGGTCTGGCCAAAGAGGGGCGAGAGGATGGCGAGCTCAATGCCGTGGTTGAAGGCAAGGCCAAGGGCGATAGCCGAGGGCTTGACAGAGGGAAGGTCTACCGACAGGAGTGTGTTAGCCGGCGTGTTCAACAAAAAGTCGAGCAAATCGAGAGTCAGAGCGAGAAAGGAGACGAGGGCATTGCGATTGGGCAGAGCGCAGCTTCAATGGCAACGAGTTTGGGAGAGCATGGGCGAGCTCGTGAAGTCTGCTCTGCAGGCGGGGGAGTGTGGGACGCCGCAAAACATGTTCTTCATGATGACGTCTGCGCCAGCAACAGCAACGGCGCGCGCAAGCTCAACGGTGCAGGGACAAGCGGCGGGCTGGTGGGATAGGTATGAGGAAACTTACACTGCAGAGACATTGTGGTTGGTTCTTGAAGACTTGACGTCGGTGTTGATGAAAGTGAGAGAGAGAGAGAGTAGAGTGCTTTGTCTGACGGGTGGTGGTGCAGAAAGAGGTTTGTGGTGTGAAAGGGAAGAAGAGGGAGGGGAGGCAAGAACAGAAAAGGGACGGGCCAAGATTTATTCAGCCAATGTCGCGAGTCCCAAACAGCTCACCTGGTCAACTCTATTTGGCTCCAAACGGGGCCAGCCAAGTCGCCTTTTTTTTTGCCCTTCTTCTCCCACATGAGAGCCGCAGAGGTAGCTGGTACCTTCCAACAGCTCCTCTGTATACATGATCGCGATCGCCACAGCTGGCGGCCCACTTGTCGGAATCAAGGCAGTTGGGGCTGGTGGCTGGAGCGCTCAGCCCACTGCGGGGAGGGTTCTAGGCCTTGTACTGGGTACCTCCCTGGCCAAAGATGTTGTCATACTGGCGCAATGCGAATGCAAGAAACCCAACGTGATGAAGAAGAAAAAAGACAAAGCCGCTTTATTACTGCAGGGGCCCAACAAGACAAGATATGGAGGCGCTTAGATGGACTTGACTTGTTACTCTCTCCTCTCTTTTTTTTTCTCTCTCTCTTCGGTCCAACAGTCCGCCGAGGCGCTGTTTGTTGCTGCGTTGCGCATTGTCGGTTTGCATGCCCACAAGTCGCTGGGGTGATGATGTCACCACTCCCTCGCCCCGAAATTGCGCCACATGCAACTGCTCGCTCATTAAGCTTGTCTTCACGCAACAAGTGTCGGTAGCGGACGGTTCCGGAGCAAAGTTGTTAGTAGCGAAAGTAATAAAGCCTCCAGGGCCTGCCCGTGTCCCGCGGTTCCATTTTAATACTTGGACTGGAACGGTTTTGCTGTCGGGTCCGAGGCTCGAGTCTCTTTATTCGGAAGCCATCTACATCCTCATCCAGCTCGGAGCCTAGCTGTTCTTTTTACAGTGCCGCCATCTTCAAACACAGTCTATGAATTGGCCTGGCCCTCAGCATCCTCCAGCAGCTGTATACTCTCCACGCTTCCTTTCGGCATAGCCCAAGCGGCGTGCGGCCATCACTCCAATGTGCTCACATTGACCCGGGGCTCTTCAAGTTCCTGATGGGCCACTCCGAAAAAGCAGGTTGACTTCTCAGGCAAGCTTCCCGTACTTCCTTTACTAGTTCTGCCCAAATCGGCTTCACCATTTCACACACACCATCAGCGCGGGCGCATTCTGGAATCGATCTCGAGCTCCAGGAATTAAAAATACAGCATCGAGCTTGAGGCCATTACCGAATCTTCATCAATTTTGATAGCCCCAGTCTCACAAGCTCCCCAAGTTGTGTGGAACCATCGCTCCGTGCCATCTGTTCTTCCCAGCTCTGAAGTACACTGTCAATATACTGCGCTGCTGCGGAAAGATGAAGGATATGTCCAATAGCCCGGTGTAGCGCCAGGAGGCGGGGGTTTGGCGGCTCAATTATCGGACTCTCCATCAAATGCAGAGTCCGTGTGATGGGAAGCATGGGATGGAAAGCAGGACTAAACGAGTCGATCAAGTAAGTGTTTGGTGGGCTGTTACCCTCTGTGATGGGCGTAAAATAAATCTCGAAGCGTCCAAAGTCCTGATGCATCTCCATTGAAAGAGTAAGCGCATTGCGCGGTCGATCAATGTCCGCAGCATTGATGAGGGGAGCAGCTTTTTTGTCGAGCATGTGCAGGATCTCCCAAGCTGACTTTCTGGCTTCGGCCTTGAAACGGTCAAATTATGCCTTTGTATTTGGTGTGTGTATACGTACCAGCTCCTGAGGCTCCGAATCAGTTTCAAACAAGATATGTGGAATGATGTGCGCAACTTCCAAAGTGCTAAACTGGGCGACTTGTTGACCGTCATCGTCAAGCGTCACGCTGCCGGCTATTCGCCCTTTTCTTTGCTCTCTGGCTTTATCCTTGTCATAATCCCGTGAAATAACGCAGCGATGTTTATCGCGGGTAAGGCACTGTCCCCGGAGCGCGGACAATCGCTGGGGCGTGCCGACGAATGCCTCGCTAGTTGCGGAGCGATAGTCGGGCGTGGGCTGGGGCGTCTTGCCTGTCGAGGCACGCACTGCAGAAGAGTTAGCTACAGGCAGGCTATTAGGGGAAATGAAGGCCAAGTCACAAGGCAGGAAGAATTGGTGGACTAGGTAGTCCGCGAATCCGAAAAGACGAGCACGTATATCTGCGGTTTCATGCTCCATGTCAATGGCTAGCCCATCAGGTGGCAGTTTTATGGCGTCAAAGAACGCTCGCAGGAAATGATCATGAGCTGTAGCGTCTTGTTGAAGCTCCTTTGCGTGCTCGTAAACCAGGCGAACAAACAAGGGTCGGTTGTATTCGCTCGTACCAGAGTCAGGATCTTCATCCTTGCAGTTGCTCAGGACCTCGTAGAAGCGTTGCTCCGCTGAAAAGTCCAATGGATCGTCGAGCGAGTCTTGGTGACGATAGTTAGGGTGTGCCATAGTGCAAGCTCGCTGTGTTTGAGAGTATGGGAGACAAGTTGAGATTTGTAATCGATGGTCGAGGGTTTGCGACTCGTGGATGGCTGCCTCAATTACAATATATATGAAGGTGACATGCGTGGGGTGGAGCTCTGTAGGCAGCCATCCGTCAATAACCTTAGAAGAATACTATAGCTCCTGCTGGACAGGTAGCAAATAGCGTCACGCAAATGACCCGGCAGTATTGCCATTGCATTTCGGCGATTATTTTTTGTTCATATTCTACCGGCTTAGCAGCTGTCATACATCGTGGCTGTAGGGGCTGTAAATGACAAAATACGTTGAAATGGGGAAGAATCTGTCGCTTTCAACGTCCAAGACAGGTTTGCAAAACGTCGCATGCCAGATCGCACACTGTGAATTTGCCCATTTACAGCCAGCGTACGAAAACTAACGATGCACCAGCACAAGAAACACAAAGAGGAAATATAAATTCAGCTTCCTCCCGATCCCCTTCAGCTCCCAGCATCCAGTGCACAACCAATCATCAAACTTGGAAATGGAATAGAAATGCACATGTAAACGCAGCAAAGACAGCAACAGCGCGAATATTGCAGATTTATGTAAACAATGTACCAACTTTTTTTTGCATCAAGCTGGCACAAAACAAAAACGCCAAATCTCCATGTGTACAAGCGGACCAGCAAGCCCAGTCGAGTCGTAAAAGTACGCCTCCCCAAAAGGAACAAAAGACAGCGCCACAGCTGGTGGAAGCCGGCCAACAGTGGTTGAGCATAATCAGCCGGTTCCCAGTCAGCAGGGCGTCAGACGGTCGACAAGTCAAACAGGCTGCTAGCCCATCGACTGACTGTCTTCACCCCCGCGAAGGGCCAGCAGCGCACGTACGTCGTGCACATACTGCAGGCCTTCAAGCATCGGCACCAGGTGCATCAAGTCGTTATCCGTGGGGTCGTTGATCCAGCCTTGGATCGGAATGGCATTGTCTGCATTTGTCAGTACACACGAATAGTCAAAGAAAAGGCACAAGAAGAGCGGCCTACCCTCGTGAAACAGATAGCTCAGCGGGCTATTATCCAGAATCATGACCTTGCTCAGGTCAGGCTCTACCGAGCTCAGGTCCTTGATGTATGCCCCTTGTCGGTATGTGCAGTGTTGCCGGTAGTAGCGCGCAGAGAAGAACTTGCGCTCCGACTCGAGCCAGTCAATCACCGGGTCTGCGTACTCTTGCACCGACGCCGTAAACACCACCAGATTGTACCACTTGCAGATGCGCCGCAGGAACTCGTCGCAGTAAGGTCGCTTGTTGACCCAGTACAGAATTGGATGCTGCGCCATGCCCGCGCCGCCGCCACCACCGAGTCCCAGAGAAGCCGCGTTAAGGCTGACCTCGATCATGTGGCCGCTGTTGAGGCGCCCGCCCTTGGACATGCTGTGGATGAGCGTCTCATCCAGGTCCAGAATCAGCGTCTTCTGCTGCTTGCGGGAGGGCTCAAAGTTGATGTACGATGGTTGTCGGCGGGGAATGAGCGGTCGGGGAGGGGCGGGTGCCTTGGGGTACTTGGTAAGGGCGGCGTGGGGAGAGGTGGGCGACTTGAGATGGGCCGACAGCTCCTGGCCGTACTCGCTGAGCTTGGTGCGTGGTGCTGCAGACTGCGTCTTACGGTGCTGCTTGCGTTGGCGGGTGGCGTCGTCGTTGTTCAGCTTGATTCGTATCGACCGGCGCGACGACCCGCCTTCCTCGGAGGACTGTAGCGACTTGGATCGGTTGTGGTGGCTGCTGGTGGAGGGGGTCTGAGAATGGTCGGAGTCGGATTCGGAAGACATGGAAGACGATGTGCCTGGGCGTGCGTTGGCGGGCGGTGCTAGCATATTGTTGTAGCCGGAGGAGGGTGTGTGCGAGTCGGCTGACTCGCTGTCACCGTGCGCCTGGTTGCTGCCATAGGCCGCTTTCCGCCTCGAGTTGGGATACACCCCGAACAGCTTCTTAAGCTGCGACATGGGAGCAAATACATCCTCGTCATCGTAGAAGCAGGCAATGAGATAGACCCCGGGAGAGGCGAGCGCGGAGAGGAACCAGCGGAGAGAGTTGACGACGCTCGCCAGCACGCGCCGGGGTAGCCATTGCCCACGCGAGGTGTGCCACGGCTCTGACGATTCCCTGCCTTCAGACAAGAGCGGCGTCTGCTCCGAGGGCGCCGACTTTTCATCATGGGAGCCTTCAAAGGTGTCGGGAAAGGGCTCCGTATCGTGGCCCTGGGGACCATCACCATCGTGAGCGTCGTGGAGCTTCTCGTCGATGCCGGGCAGTTCTAGGCTCATCGAGGTGAGACTGTTGGTTCGTGTAGGGGATGCGCTGGACGACGGCGACACGCGCGAGGTGATGATGTTGAGCGAGTTCATGGTGGCTTAGGGGCGACCAGCCATGGGCCGACGGAGCGCAAGACAAAATGTACAGGTTTTGGCCGGGCGTCGTGCGCGGGAAGGGCGGCCTCGTTGTGTTTGTTTCAAATCTCTCGCGATACGGGTGCCGACGCTACAAGCTGTGCTGGGCGGGCAGCGGCGGCGATGGGGGGCGAGAGTCGCGGAGGCGCGGATGCCTCTGGGCCGGGTTATGCCGACGATGTTTTTCTGGCGTTGTTGTGGTCGCGGCAGCCGAGCCAATTCAACAGGTCGGGCAGGGTTGGAAGGGGAGTGATTAGAGGCGGCTGCGTGGTAGGAGATGGAGATGCATGCGCAGCGAATGGGGGACTGCTCGCGGGGATGCGGAAGCGGAGGGCGGCAGTGATGCGAGGGGAGCGGACTCGGGTGTGGTTGAGGTTTTGAGGGGGAGCTGTCAGCGTTGAGAATTGTCGGGACCTCGTTCAAGCCTCAAGCCCCGGGGCGTTGCCGTCGTCTTGGATTGGCCGCTTGTCTGGATTGGGGCAGGCGGACCGGGCGGCTTTCATGGCTTTCATTCGCCGGATGGGCGAGCTTCAGCGGGCTTTACAGGCTTTACAGGCTTTATTACAGAGCATCGCCTCGCTGCGGCGGAAGCTCCAGCGAGCTGACTCGCCGCAGATCTAGCGGGTTTTACCACTGTAACCGCTGCTTCGGGACCGCCACCGCGCCAGAACCTCCGCTGGGTGCTAGAGCCCCGGTGAGCCCCGCCAAATGATGACTTGAACATCCGTTTCGCGTTGCATCGCGGCATTCCTTTTACTGTCTATCGAACCCCATTTGCCTTGTTGGGCTGATCGTATACTCTCCGCTCATTATGGGCTATCCGCTGGTAGCTCTTCACCAGTTCAGGTTCAGGGTCTAGCATCATGCGTTACTACTACATATCTTGAGCACATAGGGGCAGTAGTACTGGATCTGTCTAAAGATGCCCGGAATTGATCGAAAAGCAATTCTACCGAAAATCAGTTACTTCTATAAACCAAGACTTCATCTTCATTACTCGCTCAATTAATCTATTTTGTTGCCGACCTGCACATCATCTTGTCGCGGTAGTGGGGCTTTTCCCGACGACTAGGCGGCAACTCAGCCGCCCTACACTTTTTTTAAACCACCACGCATCTCCCCCATCGTTTTGCTTCTTCCTACCCAATAACTATCAATCACTGCCGTCGGTTTCTCATTTTTTTTCTCTCACGGCTGTGCTCTCTCGAAGCAAGCGCAGCCAAGCTTCGCTGGCAGCGCCCAGCCACCATGAGCTCCCAAAAATATGCATTCCTTCCCATGGATGATGGCGAAGTTGGCCCTCAAAAAGTAACAAAGGAAAAGAAGCGCCGCAGCCACCGCAAAGATCGCGATGACGACCGACACAGAGACCGCGACGATAGACCCTCCAAATCCTCAAGGCATCGCCATCGCAGCCGCTCCAAATCTCCCCGCCCTTCTCAGAACGACCACTCCAAGTCCTACCGCAAGCGCGACGACAAGGTCACGTTCGACGACCGTTGGGCTGACGAGGCGCCTCCCTCTGACGATCCTGATCAAGGCGAAGAAGAGCCCGAGTTTGAAGAATCAGCCAGCAAGCGAGTGAAGCTACAACATCAAGAGCCCGCTGACGAGGACCTCTCTGACGGCGCCAAAGAAGAGCGTGATCGTCGGCGCGATCAAGACGAACGAGAAGCCTTCTCGAAGCGCTTAAAAGAAAAGGATGACTCGCGCTCAAAAAAGGGGCATCGTGATGGTGAGGTCACAGCAAGAAGGCGTCTGGGTGATGACGCCGCTGCACGGGACGCTGCTCTCCCCGATATACGCGAACGGTCGCGACAAGAATACCTCAAGAAGCGAGAGACGGAGCGCCTAGCCTTGCTGCGCAAACAAGTCGCTGAAGAAACAGCTGAGCTTCAGAGCGGTGTCCGACTATCCGACAGAGAACGAGCCGACTTCGCAAAGAATAGGGAGATCCTGCGCCTGGCCGAAGAACGGCTCAAGATTGACGACCACCGCGATGGCTATGTTATGCCCGAGGACTACCTCACAGAAAAGGGCAAGATGGATAGGAAGAAAAAAGAAGAAGCTCTATACAAACGCTACGTGGAAAAAGACGAATTCGGCCAGGAAAAGTTTGTCACAGAGCACGAGGAATGGGAGCGCGAGCAGACGCTCAAGGCCAAGGCGCAGATTTCTCGGCCTGAGCTCCAAAACACAGAATACGATTATGTCATGGACGACAGCCAATACATCAATTGGAGTCTCGATTCGCGCATGCCCAGCGAGCGGGATACCATGACGGCTGAACAGCGCTTCATGGAGCAGCAGCTCGACGCGGCAGAGAAAAAGGCCCTGACGATGCAGGAAACGCGAAAGAGCCTCCCAATCTACCAGTACCGAGACGAATTCCTGGCTGCCCTCGAGCAGCACCAGGTCTTAGTAATTGTCGGTGAAACCGGTAGTGGTAAAACGACACAGCTGCCCCAATATCTCCACGAGGCGGGCTATACCAAAGGCGGCCTCAAAGTTGGCTGCACGCAACCGCGCCGAGTCGCAGCCATGAGTGTGGCTACGCGTGTCGCCGAAGAAGTCGGCGTCAAGGTTGGCAACGAAGTCGGCTACTCGGTTCGTTTCGAGGATTGCACAAGCGACAAAACGGTCCTCAAGTACATGACTGATGGTATGCTGCTGCGAGAATTCATGACGGAGCCCGATCTAGGCGGCTATTCCGCTCTCATGATTGACGAGGCCCACGAGCGTACTGTCCATACTGATATTCTATTGGCCTTGCTCAAGGATCTCTCCCGCGAGCGCAAGGACCTGAAGCTGCTTATTTCTTCCGCCACCATGAATGCCGAAAAGTTTGCCTCGTACTTTGACGACTGTCCCATTTTCAACATTCCCGGCCGTCGCTACCCTGTCGACATTTACTACACCCCCGCCCCCGAGGCCAACTACCTCGCCGCCGCCATCACCACCGTCTTCCAAATTCACACGACCCAGGACAAAGGCGACATCCTCATCTTCCTTACTGGTCAGGACGAGATTGAGGCGGCCGAGCAGGAAATCGCCGAGACGGCTAAGAAGCTCGGCAGTCGCGTCAAAGAGCTCGTCATCTGTCCCATCTACGCCAACCTGCCGTCGGAGCTGCAGACGAAGATCTTTGAGCCGACGCCAGCCAACGCGCGCAAGGTCGTCCTGGCGACCAACATTGCCGAGACGAGTTTGACCATTGACGGAATCGTCTACGTAATTGACCCTGGCTACGTCAAGGAAAACATGTACAACCCCGCCACGGGCATGTCCAACCTCATCGTAGTGCCATGCTCGCGCGCCTCGGCCAACCAGCGCAGCGGTCGTGCCGGCCGTGTCGGCCCCGGTAAGTGCTTCCGGCTGTACACCAAATTCGCCTACATGAATGAAATGGACGAGTCTACGACGCCCGAGATTCAGCGCACCAACCTCAACAGCGTCGTGTTGCAGCTCAAGTCGCTCGGCATCAACGAGCTGCTGGATTTCGAGTTCATGGACCCGCCGCCGACGGAAGCCCTCATCGGCGCCCTTAACCAACTCTTTGCCCTGCAGGGGCTCAACCACCGCGGCGAGCTGACCAAGCTGGGCCGACAGATGGCCGAGTTTCCCACGGACCCGATGCTGGCCAAGGCGGTGCTGGCGGCAGACAAGGAGGGCTGCGTGGACGAGGTGCTCGCCATCGTGTCCATGCTCGGCGAGGCCTCGGCGCTCTTCTTCCGGCCCAAGGACAAGAAGATCCACGCCGACAGCGCGCGCAACCGCTTCACAGTCAAAGACGGCGGCGACCACGTCACGCTCCTCAACGTGTGGAACCAGTGGGTGGACAGCGACTACTCGCCCATCTGGTCCAAAGAGAACTTTTTGCAGCAGCGCTCGCTGACGCGGGCGCGCGACGTGCGCGACCAGCTGGCCAAGCTATGCGAGCGCGTCGAGGTGGCCCCCTCGACGTGCGGCGCGAGCAACCTGCGGCCCATCAAGCGCGCCATCACCGCCGGCTTCTTCCCCAACGCGGCGCGCCTGCAGCGCAGCGGCGACTGCTACCGCACCGTCAAGAGCAACGCCACCGTGTGGGTGCACCCCAGCAGCGTCTGCATGGCCGTCGACCCGCCCGAGAAAATGGTCGTCTACTTTGAGCTCGTCCAGACCACCAAGGAGTACATGCGCAGCGTCATGCCCATCGAGCCCGCCTGGCTCGCCGAGCTGGCGCCCCATTTTCACAAGAAAAAGGACATTGAGCAGCTCGAGGACAAGAAGATGCCCAAGCAGCGGTAGACGCACTGTCGGCAAATGTACGGTTGAAGCCTGCGCAAGCACTCCAGCGATGGAGGCACCCACACATACTTAGCATACATATACAGCATATACACAAGCAACATCAGAACACCAGAAGAAGACCTCTTATCTATATCTTCACGGCCCTACGATTTATTGTACATGCATACCAACAATATCCATTCTACACGTGCTACAAAGTAAGCTCTCGTCCATCATGTACACGCTCATCTTCAATAACTTGACCATTCAGGCGAGGGTCTTCCAGAGACTCCTGCCACCTATCAAGGAGCTAGTATTTGCGATTGTCGAGTTTAGTCTATGAGTTTGGATGCCATTGCCACTGCGGCATCGTCCCGCTTCTCCGGTAAAACTAATGCTCTACTCTCAAGTTCTCGCATCTTCAACTTGACAAACCCCTCCATGGTAGCCACCTCGCGCTCGCTCAACATATCAAGTCTGGCGCGGTGGTCACCCAACTCATTGTGTCCGTAGCTGCTAGGGTCAATGAACCTCCAGAATATAAAGTCGAATGCCCAGCTGTTTCTAGCTGCATAATTGATCAACCAAGACTGATCGTCCCATCTCCTCCGCATCTGCTGCGATAACGGGACGAGGCTGGGGCAGGCGGATATCGAACCACCGGTATTCTTTTTCTCCTCATCCTCCAAAACGCTCAGAAATGTATTCAGTCGGGGCTCGTACGCTTCCATCCATGATGCATAGCCCCCAGGCCAATATTCTGGGCTTTTCAGTAACAGCCACCACGGCGGATCCAAAGAAAATTGCGCCGGCGCAGCGTAAGCAAATTCCCAGTCTACAACAGCGACCACTCGAAGGTTTTCATCGATCAAAACGTTGGACGGGCGCAAGTCCTCAGAGTACAATCGAAATCCAGCGTCGTCTTCATGGCCATCGCCAGTGTCAAACTGGCCGCTCATTGCTAGCCGTTGAAACAGCCGACGGGAGACAAATTTGTCGCGCGCATCGTCCTCGTCCAAGATGGCATCATTGCGCTGCAGAGCCGCTTGTAACATATGCATATCGGCCAGTGCCGAGTACCATTGCTTGGATGTAGTGTAGGGCTGCGAGGGAAGGAGTTCTGGTGGGACACCAGCAAACTCGACCAGAGAGTTCATGTTTTGGATGAGGGGCCGGCCAGACGCTGAGGTTAGGCCATGGCTGCCCTGGACTAGTGAGCCAATTTGTGGAAATGATAGTGTAGATAGCTGTAGTAGAATGTTGGCCATCTGCCCGTAGAGGAGCCTAAGTTCAGATTCGCTGATATTGGCGTTCAAGGTATGGGGTTCGTTTGGTGGAAGAAGTGGATCGTTTAAAGCGTCAGATAGAGTTCTTTCATGATCTATATAGTCCATAATGATAAAAGGACCAAGACCAGTGGGGTTTTCTGCACCGGTTCCGTGGTGATATATGCGCGGCACCGGAATCGTCGTGTTCGCAGCTACGTAACGCATAGTAGCCACTTCGTAGCTGACCTTTTCCTCCGGGAACTTGACAATGCCTGTTCAATATTAGCAGTGTTGATTGTGCCATTGATAGTTTCGTGTGTGATGACGCAGATTACCTTTGCGGGGGATTCTCATCAATGCCGATGAGCCGTCCTTGTACTGCAACCGAAAAGCAATGTTGTATCCGCCTTGAATCGGTCGGTGGAGCTCCATCGGTACTCCAGGCCGATATCTCGTGATCAGGTGGGCAACTGCACGGTACGTTTCCGCATTGTGTAGTGACCTCTCCCAATTGTCGACGTCTTTGTCACTATTTTCCCAAGCAAGGTCGTCCTTCTCCATACGGATGTATCTGAGCTTGAGGGGCATTGTGTTCATAACCGATGAGCGGTGTCTGGCTAGGATGCAAGAGGCGAAAACAAATCTCTGCCCGCCTTGGGTGAAATACAGAGCCCGTCAGGGGTTTAAGCTGACACGGCTTCCAACAGACAGGGCAAATGCGGGTCGTGAGCACGAGGCTACCCCGCGCACGCTCAGCATCAGATAGCCGCCTTTTTCCAACTAATGCGCGTCAAGGTTCAGCAACAGCTCACCCCAGTACAAGCCTCACTTCGCAGGTTGGAACTCATCTACTCTTGGGCACGGGCTTAAGAAACCTAAGTTTGCAGCATTGCGTCTTAAAGCACCGGCGCCAACTCTCAAGATGTGCAAACATCTCGCGCAGACAGTACTATTGCGAGAAATATAAAGCTACTCCGAAGCATACTTATACACACCAAACCTGGGCGGAATGCCGAAAGGCGAAAGCACGGGGACATCGCTGCGTGGGCGCTGCGCCCGAGAAGACGGCACGGGGAACGTCATCGTTCTTGGGTCTGCGACGAGGCCCGGAGACTGTCCCATGTGCCCGCCAGAGCTTCCGAAGGATCATTGACCACGTCCTGTTGTGCCTACTTTCGGTGCCTCAGCCACCAAGTGATAGGCAGGATAGTAACGAGGGCGAGCATGAGGGGACTAGCAAACGAGGACAATTGTGTCTGTTTACTTGGTGGCAGAATACCTGACAAGATCAGTTAGCATCGAAAGGCCCGCGCCTTCATGTGGTTGTGTACCTTTGCTCATGTCCTCCAATACCTCTGTCATTGAGGAGTACTGTCCTTTCCAGCATCGAAGAATGACATGTCCGGCTGGAACATCTTCTAGAGATGGGAATTGGCCTTGGCCGAAGAACTTTTCAATCTCAGATGCATCTTTGTCGTGAAAGGGTGTGTGGCCAGTCATGACTTCATAAAGTGTTGATCCTAGCGCAAAATGCTCTCGCTTGATAGAGACTGAAGTGTCGCCTGGAAATGAATGGCTAATCTCGTAGACTGTTAGGAAAGGCAGTCCGTCAATAGACGAGCCCGCAAAATCGCCGATCCTAGCGTCCAGATTTGCATCGAGGAAGATATTATTGCATGATAGATCGCCATGCAAAACGCCTTTGCTGTGGAGAAAAGCAACGCCGGAAGCGACTTGCTCGGCCCAGCAAAGACGACGCTTCAGGAGAATAGGCTGGTGAGTTGTTGCGCGGTACTGTCGGATTGAGCCATTCTGCTGGAATTGGAGTAGTAGACTGCCATCTAATACACCAAAGAACGGGACGATACGACTATGAGATTCTTACAATAGACGATAAGGTAAGAGGTCTCTATAGGTAGTATAAAGCAATAAATAGCGATTTTTCTTGCCTTAGGTAGTATAGAGGAATAGTAATTAGTCTATCTCTTCTTTTATCCTAACTATCTATAGTTTTTAATAACTACTAATTAGTATTAGAAGTAAGGTGTATGTAAATAATAATAAAATAATAAATAATGTTAATTTGGTTCCTAATGATTAAGATAACTAACTGTTAAACGCTGCCTTCCTTGATGGCTGGAATTAAGGAAGACCCACGAGAGTGGGTCTTCCACCAGCACTGGCCAATCAGAGGCCAGCATCGAATTGGGTGCTTGCGCAGGTTCAACAGTAAGAATCACACCACAAGCTCTCTCACAACCAAGGGGAACAAGCTTGATTAGTCGTGGCACAGCAAGCTAGGCGTATTGATAGAGTGCAAACAGCTTCATGAAGCCGTGTGAAACTAAACACCTTGTAACCAACAAAAAACCTTTCGCGATGATCACCGGAGCCCCGCTGGCAACTTCCGAAGAAAATATGGTTCCTCGGCTCGCCTCCTCGCAAACAAGAACAGCTACCAAAAAAACGTGCGGTCTCCTTGTAGTAAATGTCAAATACAAGGTCATAGAAGTGGTGCAAGATGCTACCCTTTGCGAGGTAGAAGCAGCCCATAAGCTAGGCGGAATTTACAGCGGGTAGTCCAAAACCCACAGCGGGCGCTGTTAACCAAGCGGGGCGCTCCAGTCGGTAGCGTGCTTATATCAGCAGCGTGACCTCTCCTTATTTGTACTATGGAGCCAACTCCGTACGACAAACAACACAACCCGAAGTAAAACAAAGCAAAGAAAGCAAAGCATGGTAATAAAACGTTAGGCAAGTCGCCGCCGTCATCAACACAGTAGCCCTCATGACAGCGGCACAATCAGAATTTATGCTAGATTATAACGAAGCCAAACTTCCGGTATCGTCCCGCAAACGCAATGCCGTGGCGGGGCCTAACACCGTCACTACGCGTGCCGCAAAGCGCCGCTGCGCCCAAGTTGCGCGACATAATCAACGGGGCCCTAATAACGCTACACTAATGTCTCTCGATGCCGCCATGCGAGCCGATTGTCGACGTCGTCTCTACGTGCACCCGATTGCCTGGACGCCACACCACCTTGAGCTACTACGCGTCCACTTTAACAAAGCGAAACCTCTTAGTCGCTAAGGCATGGCCGACGCCCAAGCTGGCTCCGATACGAACAATGAACAGGCGCACGCAACAGACCTCCCTTGGAACGTGGAAGACAGTCTGCGTGCGATGGAATGCTTAGTGGGCTGGAGCACGGACCTACAGAGAGCAGCGATGGCAGCTTTACTACGGAGCTTTAGGCTGACGCGGATTAGGTACGTCTCCAGAGAGAAAACGAGAAGAAAAAGACGACGAAGAACAGCAGCTAACACTTGTGTGCCAGGTACTAGGACCGAATCGAGATGCAGTTTAGAGGGGAAACTGTTTGCCGTTTACATGTACAGGGCGTATAGACGGCCAGGACAGGAGACCGAATGATGATTTCTACCAACTTCGATGCGATATCCGAGGCGCGACACAAGTGGGTGCACGGAGGTAAAGGGAGAGCTGGTCAGAACTACGGTGCCGGGTTCATCGTGAGGCGCAAGAAGGAAAAGGCGCTGCAGCCCACAAGGGCCTACCGGGATCCATACATCTGCAGCCTGCTCATCGCGCTGGCGCAGGCGCACAGGAAGTTGGCCCCCGAAGCGCCATGCTGGAAGGTGCTCCTGCTCGCTGTTCCGGGCGTCGGCGCGCAGCAGCTCTACTGCTACCAAGGTTGGGTGCCCGCGGGCCTCCTCCGGAGGCTGGACGAGCCGTCGGCCGCGGTAGCCTGTATGGACGTGGCGATTCGTATCTCGACGATAAGCCTAGCGACGCCGCAAAACGCAGCGCGCCGCGTTTGGGAGGTGTTGCATGAGGAAGAACTTGTGTGAGAAAATAAGGTGGAAGGGGGGGTAAAGGAGAGAAGAGGAGGCAGATGTCCAAGGTTGCCACTAGACTCATCCTAATGACTACATTATAGAGGCCGCAAAAATTTGGCTTATCTGTATCTTGCGAAAGGATGTACTGATAATACGCTGCCCTTGCTCAAGGCTACTAATGTGCCCCGAGAAACAGCCACTCACAGGCTCGCGCGGGGCAACGGTTCAAGACTTATTTTTAACTGCTGTCACTAGTTATCTGGCTAACATGAAGTCAAGAATCTGTTGGGTGCCGGTTCTTAAAAGTCGCAGAGAACCTGATGCCGGCTCGGGTCGTTGTGACTTGTGACGCGCGACCTCTTCATATCTCGGGAGGCACTCTCTCCGCATTGTCATTGGGGAACACAAATGGCAGCAGTACAAGTTCTGCCCCTTTTCCTAATCACCGTCTTCAAGGTCCCCCCATGGCACCACATAGTAAGTATTGCGGTAAGTATTGCGAGCATATTGGCCCCGTGCTCCTCCCCGTCCCCGGTAACTCGTCCGGCGTCGACCGGACCACGCCCTCTCCCCAGCGCAGCTTCGTCGTATCAGGTAGCGGCTCCAGCTGCGGCTCCTGGTAGTTGGCGCCGACGGGCTGCGCGTACGCAGTAGTCCGCCTCTCTTGCGGCTGGTACGTACTTGATTTCCGTGAACCATTTCATCTCGGGAAAGCGCATAAGCAGCGCGTACTCCACCCCGCCCTCGCAAATGTTTGTCGTGAATCTCGAGAAGCATTCCTCCGTGTCCGGGGAGATTCCGACGTCCTCGATCGCCGCCCAGGCGCCGGGGTCCACCTCGCGTCGAATTAGCTCGTCCCGCCCATTCACTCTAAAATCGAGTGTTTTAGGGAGAATTGGGGTTTCCAGGAAGAAGAAGGCGGCCTCGGCACAAAAAAAGAGTACATCTGAGGATGGCCGGAAGAAGACGTCGCGGTCGAAGTCCAGAAAGACGCCGCTTTTCACGACCTCATCCCGCCAAGCGCGGCACACGCATAGCAAATCGGCCCCCAGTTCCGGGACGGAAACCGTGAGCCTAGTTTCCTCTCGCCAATGGGGTTGTTCCCACCTGACCTCGATGATGCGCTTAGGCAATGCAGCTTTGACGATCATGTACTCGAGCTCCCGCGGAAGCCGGCGGGGCGGCAACGATGCTGAGTCGGGCAGGGTCTTCAGCGAGCGTTTCATCGCCTTCGCCAGTTTTCTTATAATCTTCCTTATGTTCTTAAAGCACAGCGAGCATTTCGTCCTCTTCCCTGTTTTCTTATGGCGTAGCGAGCGTTTCGTCTTCTTCCCTATTTTCTTATGGCGTAGCAAGGGTTTCGTCGCCTTCGCCAGTTTTCTCGTCCTCTTCCTTGTGTT